GCAGACCTAGATGCTGCTGATTCTGAATGTCCAACCTGCCAGCAATAGATACCAGTGCTGAGACCCCGGAGAGGCTGTAAGAAGACCAACTAGTCATTTGACGCCAAACTGACTATATTAGGCCCATTCTTTCCTAGAACAGCCAGCAGTTTATTAGCACAAGGGTGGACACCTATCCTAGATATGCAGTGTTTTTCCTGTACAAGGCCTTGACCAGCACCACAGCCTAGGAACTTACAAAATCTCTGAACCAACTGGCATGGATTCACTGACTGTGTGAGCTATACATCATAATATCCAATCAGGATGAGTTAGCCCATGGGATCCCCTGCTCTTCTCACTCGGTGCACCACCTAGAAGCTGCTGGCCTGACAGAACTTTGAAATAACCTTTAGTGCCTAACGGTTGGAGGCGATATGCTGTCAAGATGGGGAACCATTTCCTGGACACAGTATACTTACTAAATCAGAGACCCGGCGTGGTACTATGTCCACAACAGGAAAGACACATGGATCTGGGACCAACAGGTGGAAGGCGGAGTGACCCTACTTACCATCACTTCCAATGAACCACAGAGGGACGTAGGACACTCCGCCCTACAACGCCGGGCTCCGCAGAGCCAGAGGTCCTTGTTCTCAAAGGTGTACATCCTCCCTAGGCAACACACCAGAGGTTCCCTGAACTTCAACTTACTGCTGCCACCTAGGCACTTTGGTCTCCTTGTGTCCAGGTGATGGTTGAGGGCAAAAGGAATTTAGAGCGGAGGAGAGGTATGACAAATAACATTTGTGGCCTGGAGACCAATTGCAGGAAGTCTCTGTGGTTATCCCAACTAAACTGTTCTTTTTAAGTTTCTCCTCAGGAAGAGAGTCCACCAGAGCCCTGGAGAAATCGCTCCCACTTGCACGGGGAAGTGGGTCCACGTGGTGCAACAGGTGGACTGTGGCAGGCATGGAGATGTGCCACTTAGATCCCCCTTCAAGAAAAGACTTGCTGTCCACCTGCAAGAAGTGTGGTTAGCTGACAGCCTCCAACCACTGACTTCATCGGGATCCACCTTAGCTTTCAAGCTGAGGTCATGTTCTTCTCAAGGCAGGAAGTGTTGATGGCCAATGGTTTCACTAAGCTGTGGAAATAGAAACGACAATTTTCTTAGGGCGG